GGGCAACAAGAAGAAGCACAAGCAGAGGCCCGGATTATACTCCCTGAGCGACGACCCCCGTGAGGAACGAGAAGAGGGCCGCGGCGCCTTCAGACACAGAGTCGTGTCAGATGTTTTAATGTAATGTAATGTACGACTCCTTGCTTTTTATTTATATATATTTTCATATTTACATAAAAGATGGAATTATTATCAGATATGATATGCAGAGTTTGGTTGTGTGGTCAATGGGGAATTCTTATTCAAGATTTAAATTTATGGTGGCATCAGGGCACATCTTCTGGAGCTGGTTGATTGCTTCTGAGTTACAGACAAAGAGTTTCAGTTTGAGTTTGTCACCTGTATGAGTTTTATCTTTCTCATTTACAGGTTTGAATAAAACATGATTCAGAAAATGTTCCAGAAGGTCCTGTGAGTCCTCTTATTACTCACTGTCTGTGGTCCCCTGAAGGCACCATCTCCTCAGCCTGCCTTTCTGCAGTTCACCTTCAGGAGAGGCTTAAACTCAGAAAGGCAAACTGAGCTGAACAATATTACAGAAATAATGTTTACTTTGTGATGAACTTCCAGTTATACTGATTGTTATGTACGTCCTGTTTTTTTTAATTTAAGACTCTTTTTTCACCACATGTCAGTGTCTGCACATAACACTTAAACCAGTAAGGTTGCTGCAGGAAGAAAAAAAAGAAGAGGTGATTAATTTCCTTCTGTAAAGTTGAGTCATATATTCACATTCATTGTGATATTGAACGGACTGCATTCCATTAACATAATGAATAAATCAGATGTCTTTTCAGTGTTCGCACACTTGTTTTTTAAATGACTGTTCCCTTTAGAAATGTCCTCTCTACTACTAGATATACATTTAATCAAAATTAATCAATACCAACAGGAAATCAATCCATGACAAAGGAATTCTGTTTAAAGCAGAGTGATCAAGACTTGACGTGTTTTCCTCTGTGTTTTCACCTCTGAGTAAGAAGAACATGAATTAAATATATAAGCAAATTCATAAATGAAACAAAAATCGGAGTCATGTTTGTGCCTCTAAGGAGGATTTAGAGGACTTGCCTCTTCATCCCTTCGCTACGTCACAGATTATAAAACAATGTAAAGCATTTAGGAGACTCAAACATCCCACTGACATACCCTGGAAGCAAAGCAAAAGGCTGGATTTCACTGAATTACGATATATTTTGCGCGAAAAGGTAGAGGGCGTGTCATTCATAAAGGAGTAGGCTATGCAGGTGTTCCATAAATCATTACTGTCCCTCTGCGTGACAAAACATCTTGGAAATATGGCTCTGATCCATCTCCTGGTTTGTTGAGACAGCTGGGATTGCGCCAGATGCGCAGCTGACTAGGAATGAGTGTGAATGTGAGTGTGTGTTTGTACGTGTGTGGCTGAAAGTGTGTGTTTATCGCCAGCCCAAGAAGCAGCAGAAGGAGAAGAGCTGCTGTCTGCCCTGCTTTATTTATTGTATTTGGTGTGTGGGTGTCTTCAAGAGAGGAAGAAAAGTAAGGATTTTGAATGTTTCAAGATAACACATTTAGTTGCGACTTGTTTGGGAGATAAAAGAATCATGGGTAAAGAAAAAGCAGCGTTTAGAAATGGTACCCCTCCTGTGGTTAGCCTCATTGTCAGGCTGTCTTCTCGACCCTCCAGTCGTCTCACACTGTTTCTTTCATGTCTAATGATGTCACTTCCCCAGCAGCACCCGTTGTCTTACGTCAAGATGATGTTTCATCTCCGAGCCTCTGGGTTTTTATTAAGCAAATGCTCTTTTCTGCTGCTGCTGCGTGGAGAAAGGCCATCACAAGGTCAGGAACAAGACCCAGAGTGGTGGAAAGAGTTCTCAAATCCATCTTCAGATAAAAGAAGCAGCAATATCATAAAGTTAGGTTACATTAGAAGCTGTTTATGTGATAAAGTGTAAAAATTAAAATATGGAAGTACTTAAAGTATACATACATTTTTGAGTGTTGATGCATTAACTCCATATACTGTTGGGTAGTTCATCCCATGCTTTGCTCTACTTAACTAACAGCCATCAGATAAATGTGGTTAACTTAAAAGTAAAATAGCTCCTTCTGTAATGTAGGGGAGTAGGAACAATGCTCATTTGCCCTTATGGCAAAATGCTATTAAACTACACTACATTACAGAGGATCTGACATGGACAGATAACAACATATAAACAACAACAACATATAAATATACATATATATATATATATATATATATTAATATTATTGTAAATATTGTAATGTCTTTTGTGTTGTTGAGGTTGCATTGTTCACTACACGTCCTACACGTGCATGTGACAAAGTGCTTGAATCTTGAAATTAGTTACTTAGAGCCTCTCTTAACCAGCACTGATAACAAAGGTAAACCAAACAGCTATGTTCTCAGTAGCACAATAATATGTAATATCAGATAAAGGGAGGTTTAAAGGAATAGTTTTAAATTTGGGGGGGAAATAACACTATTTTGCTTTCTTGCTGGGAGTTAGATAAAAAGGTTGATACCACTCCCATGTTTGTGCAAGTAAAGAGCTGGAGGGGAGCAGTTAGCTTAGCTTAGCAGAAAGACTGGAAACAAGTCAACAACAACTATCCCTTTAAAGGGTAATCAGGATGTATGACTTTTATCTGTTGATGTTGAGTAGGATTTGATTTAACTTGTCTTCTGCTCTTGCTCAAATATTGGACACAATCTATAGTGTAAATCTGTCACCACTCTATATAAAAAATTAGCAATGCAACATGAACATCTTAATTATTACTTTTTTTATTTCTTCTGAAGATGTCTTACCTGTCACGAAATTGGAGGCGATAGAGACATACAATGAGGCTGCATTTTCATTATAAACTATCATCTTGTGTGTGTCACAGTTATGAACAGGCCCTAAAGTCAGCTTAATAGGAGAGTGCCAACAGAAACATTTACAGTACCAAAGAAGTGATAAATCATGGTGATATAAAATGTGCACAGCTTTACCGTCTGCATTTTGGCTTGACAACATGACTTTGTTAGTCTTCATAACTGAGCTTTGTAATGGCTGCCAGAGGTTAGAGGAGGAGACTGAAGGTGTGTTGGCATTCCTTTGGGGTGGGGAGAGCTCAGGTTGAGAAGTGAGCTTTGAAGGCACATGGGAGAAGTTTGCCTTCAAAGCTTACTGTTAGAAAGGCTTTCTGCCTTTCTTTTTTTCCCAAACCTAACCAAGTAGTAGCCTAAGGCTTTCTGACAGAAATCCCTGAGGGCAAACCTGAGCACCTGGTAGAGTAATTATCGAGTCATCGACATGAGCAACCACCCTCCTGACCTGCAGACGCAGTACATCATGGTCGATTTAACAGTCATTTGGTGGCATGAAGCAAAACAAAACTCACACTTTGTGCCCATTCAAAGTGTAGATGTTGCTTCCCAACTGGAAGTTTGGTTTGTTTCGTGCTTACCTGCCATGCTGTAGGACAGAACGACACAGTCAGTGATTATCAGCAGCAAAGCTCCTCATTACCCAGCACTGTGACAGAACTGCAGCTGCTAATTATTAGTGTCTGACAAAGATCTTACTTGTTAGGAAGTCCCTGAGTTGTGTTTTATGTCCCTGCTGTCTTCAGTGGGAAATTGATTAACATTTCTATTTCCCTAAGTGCTGTCTGTGTGTGTCTCTCACCCTCCTCCTGGGGTTTCCTCTGTCCCTTGCCAACATGAAATCCCTTTTCCCCTCCCTGTCCTTTTAATAAGCATTTGTTAGTGCTGACAAACAAACCGGATGGCATACCACTGTGAGGCTGAACAGATAAGGGTAGAGCGGCATGAAAGAGACAAGAGAGTAGGAGGATAGACTGCTTAAAATATATCCCCCTCAACCTACAATGAGCCCCAAAATGTGATGTTTTTCGTAAATGAATAGTTGGATGTTTTGGGAAATATACCCTTTTGTCTGTGCGGTGAATATGAACCTTCAGCCAGCAGCGGGGTTGGAAGAAGGGGGAAAGTCACTAATTATCACTTTATATCTTGTTTGTTTAATCTGCTCAAACATAAAGTGTAAAAACGACAAGTTGCCGTGTTACAGGGGTTCTGTGCCAAACTATTTCTTGGCTGGGGGCAGTGACTTCCTGGAGTTTTGTCATTACCGTGACGTTGCCAGGTGACCAAATGACTCACCAAAAATAGTCCTGTACACAATGACCTGTAAAACCACAACATGTTGCTTTTATAAGTCAGTTTTTTTTTACAGATTTAACATACTAGGCATAACGTGTTAATTATTGAGCTTTAGAGATACATTAGGGTGGATTTTTGTTTCCTTTGGACAGAGCCACACTATTTCCCACAGCCTTTATGCTAAGCTAATGGCCTCCTAACTCCAGCTTCATATTTACCGTGGAGTATGAGAGCGGCATCAATCTTCTCAACTAACTCTTGGCAAGAAAGCAAATAAGCGTCATTTTCTAGCTTTTGTTTTTAATTTTATTTTGTTATTTTTCAAATTGAAATCCTGCATTTCTTTTGTGGTGAAATTGAAAAAATGTAAAACAAAATGAGGAATGAATGAGGAAGCTGTTGCACCAGTATACTTACTCCCATTTCAGTTATGTGTTGCTCTGCCTGCAGAGGGCAGAGACGAGCTCTAAGAGACACAACGAAACCAGGAAAGCCTCAACTACTGAGGAAACCTTTAGTAGAGGAAAGCCAAAATACGACAATAAATAACAGTATTTAAGAAATAATGTGACAATATATTACAATAGTGGCACAAAACATAAATCACTCTATCCCTAAATATTTCATGGATGCCTTTCTGGTGTCTTGCACTTGATGTGAAGCTTCTGTATCAATTGTTTGTTGCAGTTCAGGTTGGATGTACAGTGTGTTTGCATCAGGTAACTGCTCCTGGTTTAATTTAATGTATCTCTTTAGGCAAAAATTGCTTTTGACTTTAGTTCAATGTGGAGGGGGAAAAGAGGGAGAAATGTGGTACACTGGCGGGAGAGGGGAGCTTAATTTATTCACAATATTACAAACATCATGGAATTTACAACTCCAAACAGGCACAAAACACAACTCAAACTCGCAACAGAAAACAGATAGGAAATAGGGCAGAAAAAATGGATTTAGAAATGCTCCGCTGTTATACCACCAGGTGGGACTCACTGAAATGTGTCTTTCCTTCTTGGCTTTAAAACAGATCCTGTTTGTACCATTGTAACTCCAGAAACTAAATCATCAACTAAAATAATAATCCTACATCCTGCGACCTTAACAAAACACTGCTTTTGTTGAGTGACAGAAACAAGGAATGACTCGGGGGAGTTGTCAAACGTTTGTTAGTATGCACACATAGCAACAACTGAAATGAGTATTTATCCATGTGCTGCACCTTTGTGGGAGTATTTTCCTCACTCTCTCCCCCCTCAGTCTTTCTTTCTCCTAAATGTTGTTCTTTTGCTTAGTTTAGGAATTCCAGCAGGCTGCAGGGAACAACTTGAGATTCTTTCTAACCGTTCAGCCCTGCGTCAGCACAAAGGCCAAAACAAACATACATTTGTTTAGAAAACTGAAACGGGCAGTTGTAAATCTCCAGAGAAATGCCTTAGGGGTGGTGAAGCTTTAGCAGAAAAAAACATGAAAATATCTTTCAGCAAAAACCTGCTTTTAGTGGTTAACCTGTCCACAACATTATGAGTTAGTGAATACATCTTTTGCAGAGGCTGTTAAAGATGCTCTGCCTCTTTGTGGTCATTATTACATAAATATCATATACACAAAAGTCAACCAAGACACTGGATCAGGGTTTTTTCAAAACAGCCAACAGGTATAATTTCCTGAGGGACGATAACATTTTGATCACTTTACGACTTCATAGGAGTTTTGTTGAAAACGTACACGGCAAACACCGAGAGGAGTTCTGTCTTTCTGTTCAACAACTAATCTCTACACACAAAATTAAGACATTCATGATTTCAAACACACACACACACACACACACACACACACACACACACACACACACACACACACTGCACATATTCTGATGTACAGCAACAGCTCCAATGTGTCTGGTTGAAGTTTCAGTAAAAAGAAATTAACACAACTATAAAAACGAATGACAAATAATGTAGAAAACACAGATGCGTTTTTTAAAACGTGAGATTATTAGGGGGAAAGGCATTTGAGTCAAGAGTGTGTTTTAATACAGGGCTATCAAGAAGAGCTTTTTAAAAACTAAACAAAACTAAATAAGTTTAAATAAACTTAAAGGCTACATGTGTCTAAAAGGGGCTACACTGGAGGTAGAGAATAGAAAATTAGTTTTAGTGAGGATTGTGGACTTTCCTCTTTAAAGAAAAGTTTTCAAGTATCACATGTCACATCTGCGACAAAGGGAGAAAATACTCTGTGATATAATTGTTGCTTACTTATAATCTGCTTTAAAGAAGTTTAGCACCTCCGTATGAGGAACTGATCCAGCACGAAATCATCAAGACTTAATAACATTAAGTATGAAATTAGCTGGAAAAGAATTTTTACACAATCCTTAATGTTCCTGGTTGAGCTACCTTTAGAAAAACATTTTTTCAACATTCCTGTTTAAAATCTGTGACAAAACAATCAGAAAAAGTAAAATAGAAATATTGTTTTTAAATGGATGGAGTAAGGCTTTCACTTGAACGTACGTTGAAAACGAAATCTGATTTTAAGAAACATGCATTTATGTTTCATTACAAAGTGCTTTTTTTTTCCATTCACCCTTTTTGGTTTTTAGTGCCTTAATTTGAAACACATTTAAAAACATTACCAAAAAAAATTAAATTTACTACATCTATTGTACATTTTACCGAAATGATAGAGTACCCCCCCCCCTCCACCCAGGCTACTCTCGTTCACTGGTGAAAATACAATCTTAAAGCTTATAATAGGTTTCCACAGGTGCAGATACGGGGCTGTAGCACTACCATCTTAATAAAAATTGACAGTTGCTGAAATGCTCACAGGGGACACAAAGTTTCCACCCAGCAGCTCTAATGGAAAATGTTCCACAGTAACACCAATATCAAGGCACACAGTAACGGACACATTACAGCATATTGGGAAAACTTTTCAGTGGCACATCGCAGATTGTGCAGACTGAGAACGACAATGGGTGGAGACTGGGTGAGCGGACTCACTCGGTGGATGAGCCAAGGAGCTTCAGTCTCAACAGTCTTTATTGCTCATCTCATGTACGGCCTATAGTTATGAGAGGAGAGCAGATGGCATGGGTTCTCCCTTAGTAGCCCTGCCAAACTCTTTTAAAAAGGACAAAAGAAAACCATGACAGGGCGCAAAGGGTTAGAGATACAAGCTGGACCACTTGTGTGGCACTGTGTGTCTATGTGGCAAACTGAGCCAGAAAAAGTACAGCCAAATTCTCTACATGTCTTTTTTTGAACAAGCCATCCCTCCTTTAAGGCAAGTCAAGAGAGAAAGGAGAAGTCTGTGCTTCCGCTGCTCCTCCCTTCAAAGATTCAGGCTGTTGGAAAGGGCCTCCAGCTGCTCCTCTCCCAGCCTCTGCTTCTCCTCCAGGTCCTTCTGCCGGATAAGCAGTGAGGCCTTGGTCTGGACAAAGCGCTGGTAGTCCTGCAGCTGTTCGGCGGACAGCTGACGCGACAAGAAGGTCGAGACAAGGTTCTCTCTCCTGTCCAGGTTATCCTTCAGGTCTTTGGCATCCTCCCTCTGTTTGCACAGCAGACGGTGGCGACTGTCCAAAGATTGCTGAGTGCAGAGACAGAGACAGGTTACATTTGCTCTCTATGTTAACAGATATTTCTGGGGACAAATAAATATATTAGGTCTGAAATTTTAACCTTATTCTGGTTCTGAATTCATGCCTTGCAGAGCATTAGACCCGTGATCACAATATAAAATGCATTAAATAAATATCCTGCTGTAAGCATACTCATAAAAACACACAATTTGAGTGGACTACTGATTTTTCTACCAAGTGTCATATTTTGGGTTCCATTTTTTATTTTAATTGGAAGGTAATATCTTGTTTGATGATGTGGAGAGATTTGCATGTTGTGTGATCCTGTTTCAAACAGCCAGAGGACAGGAGGTGCAGTGTTTCCTTGTGTCAACAGAGGGCAGGGTAGGTACAAATGTCATCGAAACCAGGCTGGAGTTTCGGTGAGTCTGTAAATACCAGTGTTGCTGATAACAGCAAGAACACAAATGAGCCTCTAACGAGCCCTCAGTATGCAGCATTTGCAGATGGGATAACTAACAAGGTGCCCTTTCGGGGATAAATCTAGAAATCTAATGCATCCATGCAAACATAAACTGATGCTGTAAATACTGGTAAGCGTGATGAAAGAGTATATTCAGAGTGGAAACAAAGCAAAGCACAGAGCTTAAGTCAGAACCTGTGACACTACTCATGGTAATGTTCAAAACCAAGTTAATGATTGTAATTGTAAGAAAATCAAATTATGTTTGAAATAAAGACTTAAATGACTGATTATAAACATATTTTAATGGTGCTACTTCGGATGCAGCATGATGCAATTCATGTAAGTGTTTTAATATATCAAACCAAAAAGTGCAGTCCTGTAAAGTGCAGTATATCAAAAATAATCTTCAAAAGTCTGATAAATGATTTGGCTTAAACACAGATAAGCTAAAAATCAGCAATTAAACACAGATAAACCCAACGACATTTTTTGAATTCCACACAGTGAGAAACCTTGACTCCATTAAAGTCGCCCTTCAAATTTACCCATGTGGCATGTTTGCCATTCTAAAGCAAACACAACGGGAGTATAGCTAGGGGCATGGGAGCAGCCGCACGCTTTTAACACTCGTAGTCATCTTTTTGCCGTCATCTTTTTCTCGCTGACAGTGTGCTTTTAGTCGCATGCCTTATTGTGTATGTGTAAACAACTCCTGGGTGTAAAGTCAGGAGCATAATCAGGATCATAATACGCGGAGCACATGACGGTGCATTATAGTACATCAGTAGATTTTTATCACATCTTGTTTAACCAAGAAAGTTGACCTTTAAGCACAGAAATCCGTCAGAGTATGCCTTAGGAGTTTTCACTGAGAAAAAGGCACAGAAACAAAAGGGCAGCATGGGTGCATTTAGATTAGATTTATACAATTCTGGACAGAGATTCAGAGTTTGCCATGCTTTTAATTACTTGTGTGATGAGATGTGAACAATTACGATGCATTGTGAACTGGCTGCTGGAAACACAGCACTCAAAAATGGATGTTGTGAAAAGGATTTTGTGAATTTGGTTATTTCTTGCATTAAAAAAGGGTTTTCTCTGGAGCAGCAGAAATCTTGGATTTTGGAGGGTAAGTGAATGCACCAACAAGGAGAGTTTTCAAAACAGTCCCTGCAGGCAAGTATATCACAGTACCATCAATCAATTACGCAACTTTGACAAACAAAAAAAGGCAAGAAATAGTCTCATTACTCATTACTCATGAATTACTCATCTAGGGCAACTTTCAAGTTTTTGCACGCTGTTTTTCATAGTATAGCAGATGAAAGGAAAATTCTCTTGTGACAGAACCACAAAACCCTAATTTATGAACATACTGATCTGAAAAAGACAAACATGAAAAATCCCCAAAGGTTTTGGTTCCTCACCTTCTCCTCAGCATCTGTGTGTTGGTCCACGGTGCTCAGTGCGTTCTGTACCCTGGCCAGCCGAGCAGAGAGGCACAGCAGCAGGTTGACCACTCTCTCCAGGTCTCCTATGAACAGGTTGTACCTCTCCAGCTCCACGGGAAGACAGCGCTCACAGACCAGTACCTTCAGGGCCTCCCCGTGGGCCACGTTCTCCTCAATCTCTGTCTGGAGGGCACCACGCGTCTCTTCCAGCAAACGCAGACGCGCCTCAATATAGGACACTAACAGACGCTGTTAATTCAAGTAGAGAAAATTGTGGAGAGACAAAAATACCGACCACATAATTATAAATTGCAGGTGAACTAATCAAAATATTAATTTCACAATTGCTGTTATAGGGTCATGGATAAAGGCATACTGTATCAAGAGTGAATGTGGAAGGCAGTTAAGAAGAGGGGGAGGCTATGTGCCAAGCCAAACATTAGGCAAGTGGGAGACACTGATAAGAGGTAGACGGTACATCATGTGATAAGAGAACTATCTCAGTCTGAACTGAGTCCACTTAAGGCCAAATAGTATCAAGATGGTATCACTATGAAATCACCACACAGTTCCTGTCTTAAAAAGAACAAGAAAAGAATGAGACCGCAGTTCAGTGTGCATTTAAAAGTCATGTTAGTTCTGCTGTTCTGTCCGGTTTCATGTCATTTTTCATGTACATGCAACAAAGCTGTGGCGATTTTAGACATAAATTGTCTTGTTATCTGTGAAGTTATCCAGTTTTGGGTTAACACTGGTGACTTTTGGCTTATTTCTGTTGTATTTCTGACTGTGACACTCATTATTTTGCATAAATGAATAATTACCTTCTTCTCAGTGATGTCAGTTTTGCTCTGCAGGTCTGCGCTTGGAGGTTTAAGGCCGTCTGAACCTTCGACCGTTTCAGCACTAGAAAAAGAAACGTGTTTAAGTCAAGCTAGCTTCCATGCATGATGATTCCTGTCATCACAATACAGAATAGGAATGCTCAAATTAAAATTCCTGTTGCAGCTGTGCCACATACAGCGTCTTCACATGGAGAATGCTCTGAGCAAGGCCTTACTGTTATCTACAAAACATTGAAATGCAACTGCACGTTATCTCTATATATCTGAAGTGTGCTTACACCAGCGGAAATCTGAGTGCATGTACAGCAATAAGCAGAAAGCCAGGTGTGTCTGTGCATGTGATGCAACAAAAGGTAATGCAGCACTGGTGGAAACAATGAAACCTCAAACTAGGAACTAATTAAATTGTGAGTGAGATGGATTATTCTTTCCATCTACACAGCTGTGTATATAGGAGATAAGGAGTTACGTAGCCACCAGAAAGGATGGAAAGTCAATAATCTGGGAAATGTATAAACCAAGTCTAGTTATCTTCCATTTTTATGCCAGTTTCTATTATTTTACACTATCCTAGTCATCATTTCAGAATAACTCTTCTCAAGAGTGTGATGTATTCTCTAACTATCAGGCAGTAAAATGCGTGGAAACTAGAGGGGTTTATTTATGACTAGCAGATCTGTGTTTAAGTGTTATGTTCCAGGACATCAACATTTACCTTTCTGCAGCTTCTTTCTGCTCCTGTTTCTTCTTATAGTGCTCCTCCATCAGCAGTGTGTCCTCTGACAGCAGCTGCTCCATCAGCATCAGAGCGGTCTTACGATTGGCCAATGGGTAGAGCACTCTGGCCAGTGATTGGTCAGCCTTGACCACTGCTTCGACAAGCTCCTCCCACTGAGGTCTCTCTGCGGGCCTGTCCAGGCTCTCGTTCTCTCCCTCTGGTGTTCCCCTCTCCTCCATCGCCTGGTTTTCTGCCATTTCTGGGGGTTTCTCCTCTTCCACCTGCTGACTGGTGTCTGTGTCAGAGACAGAGGTGCGGGTAGACACAGGGGTTTCACTTGTCTGTGTTGGATGGGCCGAGCTGCTGGACTCGTCGTCAAAATCGTTGCCTTTCAGCGGTGAAGTCTGGACTTCCTCTTTGATCTCGTCTTCTGGAGGGATAATCCACAGCGACAGATCTGTGGTGACGCCGCAGCTCAGAGACACTTCGTGGATTGAATCAGGCGGCGGGGCGTCATTGCTTGGTTCGTCCACCGACCGCTCTTTCTCTGATCCAGTCAGAGAAGGAGAAGTCCTGAATCTACTGGAAGTTAAATAAATTATGGTTCAGAATCACACATGGCCAAAATAGTATTTGCAGAACCAGAAACACCTGTTAATAGTTTGTTTTAGTCCAGTTAGGTGCCTGAAGGGTCATCTAATTAAATGATGATGATGCAGTGAGGAAGTAGTGGAGGAAAGTGGTGTGGCATGTTCAGTCAATCATTTCACAGAGGAAAACAAATGCTGCATTGGTATGAAGTTTAATCTTACCTGGAGCTAGGCCTGTTTTCAAAAGGAAGATTAGTCTGGGTTGGTGTGGATGCGGTGGATTTGATCTCCCTCTTACTGGTCTCTAGACCTCCGGGGGACGGTGGGTTGGATGAAGTCTCACTGGGCGGTCTACTGGACCTGAATTCATCATCATCTCTGACAGGGCTATGACATTCAGAGGGAACCCTGGCCCGGGAAGAGGAACAGAAAGCTGGGGAGGTGGATCTACTGGAGTTCCTTGTTCCTACTGTGGCATCCTCTCCTGGTTCAGAGATCTTCTTCAACAAAGACCTTTTCTGGGTTTGGTTTTGGGTTTGTCCCTGAGTGATCTTCTGACCAACAATCTCTGGTTCTTGTCCCGCTTGCTCTGTTACATGTTGTTTCTTCCTCCCTCTGTTCTGCCACTGGGCTTCTCTGACTACAGAAAAGAATTTATCACTCTTCTTGTCTCTGTCCGGTCCTCCTGGTCCAGTCGAATACCTCCACAGTTGATCCAGCTGTTCAGAACTTCTACTCAGGACTGATGGTCTTGTTAACTTTGATTCCCCGAGCTCTTCCATGGACATCCCCCTCTGTGCAACCACACGGACACACTCCTGACCCTGTGGGGCTGGCTTTACTGAGGAGTCCTCAGTGGCATCCTTCTGGGGACTGACATTTACATTCAGAGTTTAAATGGATAACATAAGACATTTTATTATAATAATATAAATCATAATTCATACAAACTATGAATACATTAGAACATAGTCTTTAAATGAAAACAACTAATAAATCCAAAAAACAAATATACATGTATCATGCAAGCCTCTAGGAGATCTTATTTAAAGACTGACAACAGTAATTTGATATTTATACAAATCACAAAAAAACAAAACACAGTTTTGAGAAATAGGCCAATTGTTCAGTTAATTCTTCTTCTTTTACAGTCCATGCATAAATCTTTTCAAAGGAATGTTGGTTTGCTGGAGCAAGTGGGTGTTGACTTTCCAGTGCCACAATGAATCAAGTGCAGATTTATAGTCTGTGCCGCAGCGCACACATCACTAACCTAATACTCTCCTGACCTAAAACCAATAAAAATGTCCCAATTCGTCTGAAGTGCTTTTACATACCTCTGGGTTTCCATAGTATTAACTGGTGATGGATGCTTCTTAAAATTATGTGCCTGCAGAACCAGAAGAACCAAAAGGCAACACATGAATAACATTTGAATTGGCATACAAAGTATTCTTCTGAACTGAATAATATATAAAATGAGTCTGAATATTGCAGCAAGAGATTTTGTGGTGAAGAAATATCTTATTAAGTAACACCTTATTCACATATGTGTTATATTTTTAAGTTTCTCAATTTGAAAAACACTTACCTCAAATACATGTGGTATGGACGTGGATCTGTTCCTGAAGAAACTGGGTGCTTCTGGCTGCTCCAATAGACTCTCCACTGAGGCAGACATCCCCTGAGATGGACCGTGGCTCACCCTCCATCTTGGCTGATTCGACTGGCCAGCATATTGGCCTGAACAAGACTGATCTGAGAAGAACTGGGCATACCTGTTTGGTGAAAATTAAAATAGAATACTTAAATGTTTGATTTAATCCATACAACAAAAAAGCATCAAACAAGTGTTCTTGCTCTGCGGCTCTTTTGTACCTGATGGAGCTGCTGGAGGAATCCAGAATGCGACCTGCAGAGTGGGGTCTGTGGGGTTTCCTCTTAGTGTTTTTGCTTTCATGATTTCCTGATAGAGGCCTGGGACCCCAGTCAAACGGTTTCTCTCCCAGAGAATGCCTCTGTCTGGATGGACGTGGTAACAGAGGTGCTGGTTGTTGTGGCTCAGCCACTTTATGGCCCGTCTTACGCTCCATGTACTCCACCAGGGCCTTGTGTTGCAGATGTTTTAAGTTTGTCTTTAAAGTGCTAGGAGTTGAAAGCGTTCGACTTCTTGTCTCAAACATCTTCCTCCGTGTTGCAACCAGTCCCAGCTCTCCTCGCTGAACACGTTCCTCTCCTTCACATTCAAACACGTCGTCACTTTCGTTGCCAAATGAGCGGCAAGCAGAGTGGATGGGGACAACACCAAGCTGGTTGAGTTTCTCTGGTTCAGAGTAGCACATCTTCTTCTGCTCTGGAGTCAATCGCTTCCTGCCTCTGATGCGGGCTGTCTGGGGCTGGGCCACATTTGCTGGCCTACCGTTTTCCTTTTCAGTCTCTTTGTGCATCTCCTTCTGATTCTCCCTGACTTCTTCTTTATTGCTCCCCCTCTCTGTCTCCTCAGAGGTCACAGAGGGAGTGAGTGTGTCTGTGGAAGTCTCAGAGTCCTGTGATAAGGAGACAGTATGACTCACCTGAAGCCTCTGTTCAGACTTTTGCCTGATACGGTATAGCCATGACAGCTGCAGGTCCCTCCTTTTAAATGACGTCTCCCTTAGGACTTTAGACTGGGCATCCTTTAGCTTCTCTTTATAGTACTTTGTAAATGAGTCATCCAGGGTGTTACAGGCAATGGAGCCAACTTCCCCTCTATCGTTCTTGCTGGTGTCATCTTGTGGAGATCTCTCATTATTGTCAACAGCCACATCTCCATGAGCTGTTTTGTTTAGAATTGCGTCCTTGTCTTTTATGTTGACATTAGTATCTCTTTTATTCCGTAACAGGACTTCAGTGAGGTGGTACAGAAGCGGGGTTGTTTCTTTGTTTATCCTCTTGCTGTCTACATCCTCCAATGGTTGCTGTTTCCCTCTCCTTACTTTCTCCTCTCTGTTGGGGTGGTTGGGCTGTTCATTGCTTAACAGTGAATCGACCTCCTTTGTTTGTGTGGTTGAATGTGGTGGGCAGTTTCTGTCAGGTCCACAGTAGAATATTGGGTTGTCGGCAGTATGTCGACCAATCTCTCGACTCTGCATCATGTTGATTTCTTCTGAGGCGTCACAGCTTTGAGAGGACTGTGTCAAGATGAGGGAAGGTCTGTGATTCTCCTGGCTCCTAGGGGACAGGTCCTTGCCCTGAGACACAGGAGTGAAAGCCTCTCTCTCATCTGGAATCATACCGCTGGAAGTGCAAGAGCTCTCTTGGTGAGGTCTAAACAAATTATCCATTGTGCTGTGGGATCTTTCTTTTTCTGTTAGCCGGTGTGTCTCATTGCTCCAAGTGGAGCTCTCACTCCCAGCCTCAGACCCACACACAGCAGAGTGTGTCCTTTTACCAGATTCAGACAGCTTACACACTCCAGTGACAAAGTAGAATTGACCCTTATGCTGGATGCTGCTGTTTATAAAACTCTGACTAGCATTCCAAGGACTGGCAGGTCGAGTTGCCTCTGAACCATGCCAATCATGAGCTGAGTCCTCCCTTTTGCGCTCACCGGTCTTGTTTTGATAGTCTCCATTACATGCACCACTGCTTGAGGGCTGTGTGGGTTTCAGGTGCTCAGGCTGGTTTGTGCCTCGGGGAGGTGATCGGCTTAAGATGTTTGTTGACTTCTGCTGCTCAGAGGCTGATTTGTTATCCGTGATGAACAGGTATTCTGGGTTCAAGCTTCTGGTCTGATCATGAGGCTGGAAGTGGAGGCGGTAGGCTGGTGGCTTCTGGGCCTGTGGCTGTTGAGAGCCTCTCCACACTGAGTACACTGGGTCAGAATTGAAGCTTGGGTTGCCTGTATCTGGGTTAGCCGTCTCAGTTCTTGGGGTATTTGGACCATGGGGCTGTGGATGCAACCGATTGTGGGATCTGGGCTGTTGCTGAGGCTGTGGCTGCTGGGGTTGAAACTCAGTACCTTGGTGGTGGACCCTGCTGTTCTCCAAATTTTTTGTGGCTATGAAACTATCCAGGCGTGCTGGGACTGGAGGAGGACAGACAAGAGGGCAAGCACCTTGCATCTCTTTTTTAGAGTGTGCTTTGTTGTTATTGGTGTGGAAACTGCCACTGCCATTGTGGTAGTTTAGACTGGTGCTGGTATTATTGCGATACTGCTGTGAGATAGCTTCCACAGAGCGATAGAGCTGGTCCATGTTCTTCGAGTCAGACTGCAGATCCTTGGTCGGATGGTAAATGGACTTTACATACTTAAGATCAGCATAGTGGCTGAAGGAGTTGGACTGTAGGTCGTCTGTGAGAAAGGTAGAGGAGTAGTCTGGGGCAGTGGACCCACCAGAGAAGGAGCTGTACGCAGAGTCTCCTTTCCCGTGTTGGTGATGGGCAAGTTGGTCAGCGATGCTGCTGTTGGACTTGGCAGGGGAGAGCCGGCTGACAGGCTGGCTCAGAGGATGCAGATCCACGTTGCTCATTCTCTCAAAGTGGAAGTTGTAGGAATCCATGGAGGACTGGGGCGGATGGCAGGAAGGGAAGGGCAGGGTTTGTGAATGTGTCGTACGTGTATGCGCACTGATGCATGTGTCTTCCTTGTGGGTGAAACTGGGGAAATTACCACCAACACATTTGCGCCAAGTTGTCCGTCATGCTCGTTGCTAATTAGGTCATTTTCCTGCCTCCTTTTTGTTGATTCTAAGCCTCTTGAAACGGACTGCTCAGCAGCTCCTGGGGGACAAAACATAAACACGACACAGACTCGTTATCAGCCTGAAATCTTGACTTAGCTCTCCAGTAATACATCGGGGCCAAATGACTGCTCGAGAGAAATGAAAAGGTTATCCAAAATGTGTAATGTAAACAGTAATTGAACACATTACAGTCCATAGCTATTTTGACTACATGCAATGGCATGACATTTGTCAACTTGGCATGTCCACTAAGTTAATGATACAGCCCCTACATCAAAGAAAAACACCTTCATACCTCTCCACCAGTTGCTAGTTTTGCAGGGTGCTTTCTGCTCAAATACTATTAAGGTGCCAGAAAACAGCAAGTCACCAGTGAAAAATCTTTTCCTGGCATTTCTAGGTCAGATTCCTCTGGTGGGAAATTAGACCCCATTTGTTATAAGTTGTAAAGACAAATCATGGCCCTTGGCGGAAAAAGTAATTTTTTTCCCCCCATTATGCCTACCCAGCAGAGTGGAGGTGCCGGTACATGGAGGTGCCGGTACATGGCAGCACCAAGGGGGAAATCCTGACTGTAAATGTAGCCGACCTCATGTTTTAATTTTTTTACACTTGATGTGCTGTATAAAGTTTATATTATTATTCATTCATTTGGGATTTCTTCTTGAAATCAAGTAAGTACAATGTAAGGTTCAACAAGGCTGTGTCAAAATTAGTGCTGCAAAAAAAAATAATTTTGAAAAATCACATTTTATATATATATATATATATATATATAAGCACAGAAAAGCAGCAAATAGAAATAGAACAAGCTGAAACCAGAGAATGTGTCTAAAAACTTTAACTTAAATGATTCATGGATTACCAAAATAGTTGCCTATTCATTTTCTGTCAATCGATCAATCAGCTAATTGTTGCAGCTCTAGACAAAAAGGTAACTTGATAGCAAGGTAAGTTAAGGAATTCAAGGCTATATTCCAGTAACCTCTTCTGCCAGGTTTAATGGTAATCATTAGATCTCATTTACCAAAAATTAAATCACCTCCTCTTACGCCAAGTCAATGGTAACAGCATTTTGTGCACACACATACATACAGCTTGAAGCAATTTTTATGTTTCACAACTCACATGGTTTAGTGCAGCCTGGTTTTATAGGTCAGCACAGTTAGCCACCTGCTGAAGGAGTCTGTCGTTTTGCATCAACGAGGTCTCTAATTAAGGGCCTTGAGGTTGGCAGTGCACGTTGCAGCACATGAAAAAATGACAGGAATTCTCTATGGAACTACAGAAATCTGGGAGGATTAATCATGTGACAGTTGCTTTGTTATACAGCACTGCCACCCGTAAAGACTAGTCTACCTTTCCCCCTTATTATTCTTGAGACCTTAAAGCATTTGCTTTACCCATTTAAAAAAATTGCCAATAATATACCAAATTGGGCGAGATTAAACTTCTCTCGTAACTACACAAGCACTATGAGACCATTATCAGTTTATCAGGAAACCTTTACAGGCTATTATGCAGCGACAGAAGCTTTAGTGTTGCGCATTGCGTGATTATACTGCCCTTTCCTGTTGAACCAATTTATTTCCTACTGAGAGACATTAAAGCAAAATCAACCAATCGTTTTGGCTGGGATAAATCTGTTGATGACCGGAAACCAATTAACTTCAATCTTGACTTTCGTCTATGGTGGGTTTCTTTAAACTCCGTATTCACAGTAAAAATAACGTATAGGGATAAAATTCCCTACAATTTTGTAACACATGGAAACTTGCTGTCATTATCAGCTATCCAAAAATCATCCTGAGTACAGAAGCCAGCCCCTGCAAGTTAATGATAGGTTTAGGTTTTACTGTGGACGCTAATAACAGAGTAAATGTGGGCTTATCTCTCCCATGACCTGCGTGTCTTTCCAGGACTTTGTCATCAAGTTAAAGCTACATACCTGTCATGCATACACAAAGATCAGTGTTGCCAATACATCAAAGATAAGCCAAACAGTTCAGCAACTCTGAAACTGCAGTTTGAAAGTCGGGCCTCAGCATCGATGGAAGTGCAATAAATGTTGCTCACATTATGAATCAGCCGATTGAGTTTCTTTTATTTTGTTTTTATTTTTAGTTAAGTTATCCAACAGCAAATATGAAACTAATGCAGTAAATGACAACTGAAAACTCTTTTATAATCAATTTCAATTAGCAGCATTTTCCCAGTATTGCCAAGTTTGTTGGCCAAGTTGAAAAACCTATATCAAAGATGATCCTAGGTGGTCGTTTTGCATACACACAAAACCCACCTCCCAAGAGCCTTTCAAACTACAGTATTAAAGGGGATTTCATGTGTTTATGAAGGGCTTTCTGATCTGTGGTGTGTCTCCGTGTGTGTGTGTGTGTGTGTGTGTGTGTGTGTGTGTGTGTGTGTGTGTGTGTGTGTGTGGTTTCCAGCCCTCCTCTTCCCCTCTGTGAACAGAGAGAGGCTCCCAAACAGGGGAGCGCTCAAGTGGAAGTGATGGAGGGGACAGGCAGTGACAAAATGTACAGAGAGGAGAGAGGGAGGGAGGGTGAGGCAGAGGGTGACCGGCCTAGACAAATACCCTCACACGCAAACCACAACAACAAGAGACAAGAGAACATGAACAATGACAGCAGGAAAGCTGAACACAAGTTGGAAGGCTGGATCAACAGTCACAAGGTAGACTGGGAACTACTGAGAGATCAGCTACTTGCAGACTGGTTTGAATGAAAGTTTATAAACTTAAGAGAGCACTATTAGCAAAAGAAAAACTGAAAAACTCACCCAAACTTTGAGTCTAAGTCGCTGTGCTTCCTGATTTCCATCTGAAAAAGAAATACGTTTTCTAAGTTTCAACTTAAATAAGGAATTGCTGAATGATTTCTGTCCTTATTTCTCCTTCAGAACATCTTGCTTCCTCTAAAGAGGGACCAGACCATGTAACCAGGAGAGCTAGATATTAGAGGGAAGACTTCTAGCGAGTCCCTTCTCCCCCCACCAAGACCCCAGGCTGCCTAGCAGGAGCCACTGATTGGCCAGCCGATGACGTCCGGCTCTCCGATACACAATGAGTGCAGAGGAGGGAATATTTCACTGCCGCAGATAGCTGCTAGTGCTGCCGGCCGCCTGAACAACAGAGAGAGAGGGGAGAAAAAAAGAGGCCTCGCATTCCTGGCTGGCTTCAAAGACGAAGCAGAGCCCGGGCGCCATTCATTCCCAAGGCCCTGAGCCCTGCACATGGAGACTAGCCAAGGCAGGAGGGAGGACGGAGAAGGGGAGGGGGTAGTGGTGGTTGAGGCGGGTGGGTGTATGGGTGACCTCCCAGCCTCCACCCAAAAAAAAACACAGTCACAAAGACTAACTATCCCCCATCATCACCCTCATTTTACCCTTTCTCTCTTTATTCTAACATCTCCCCTGTATTCTTCTATTCTTTAAAACATGTTTACTGACAGTAATAAGAAAGTTACGCAGCTAATCGTTCCAACTGCAGAAGTCTTTAGTAATCACTATTGTAGTACGACTGATATGAAAGTCATATAACTGTAATTTATTTATGAAACTTGTTTAATTCATGTAGTAATTGCCAGTGATCACTGACCTCTTTTCAGACAAAGATAAAACAATGTCTGTACGGTATGATAAATTAACAGTTAAAATGGAACTTTTAAGAGACAAGTGGGGGGTTTATTACATCATGAAGATTCAGTGGCAAGTATGTAATCAATAACTGAATATATAATACTTTAAAATAATTCACATAAATTGCAAAGATTTAAGCATGCCATAAACCATAATAAGCATTTAAATACACTGTTTGAAACTGATTTATCCTTTGGGTCAAACCCACTCTCAACGAACAACACTGTCAGCTTTCAAAACTCTAGTGTGAGACAAAGATTCTACTATTTGTCCTCTCTGTGGTTTTCTGTTGTGGCTGTCAGCTATGCAGAGTTACTGCTACTGTACAACTGTAGCTTTGGCATTATTTTTTCAAGGAGCAAAATAAATGAATATCCAAGCTGAAACTCTTGATACACCAACTATACAGCCAGAAATTTGTATTATAGACTACATTTCACCTTAAGTTATTATTCAGTCTTACACTTTGAAGAAATGTTTTTAACATCTCATGATTAATCAAAATAACAATATAAGCTGAATACACACAGTGGACACATAGATTTGTTTCTCATCTTCTTTAAATTGGATTTATCATTAATAGAGTAAAATATGGACCAAATGTAAAGTGAACCTGAGCACTATGTGGTCGGTAAAGAAGCTTTCATTTATTCTGAAGGCTGACACCTGATTGCAACTTGTGAGCTAAAACAACCAATCAGATTTTAGCTTTAAAATAATATACAGGTAAATAGAGTAAAATGAGTAAACAGGCCACTTTCTGCCTGGCAACTGAGCTAAGTACTAAATCACGGTGGAGGGAAGAGAGAGTGTGCCTTAAGAACCGTAAGAATTTAAAAACCATACGCTAAAAAAAATCCAACACGGTCAGGGAAGGTGTCAAGCAAGGACACATGACAAAACCAGTGAAACAGAGAGAACACGAGGTGAGGCTGATGTAGAGAGCGAGGAATGAAGGAGGGGGGGGGGGTTAAATTCTTTCTGATTTTCTATTTTTTTTTGGCTTTCATTGGTGATTATGTGTTCCAGCATGACCTTCACCATACAACCACGAGGACTGGACCACCACGCGTCTGAGAAACAAAAGGCAGATAGAGAATAAGAGACAAAGACAGGGAGTACAGGATGATAAACAGATGCAACAGAATAAAAAGAGCCAAAGGAGAAATTAGAGACAGAGAGAGAGAGAGCGCGAGGAAGGGGAAAGAGGCAACCAGGAAATTACGGAACTGTGGTGGCTGCTGCAATGGTAGCCAGACAAACCAACTAGCCAAAACCATTAAGCTTGTTAGCCCTGCTGACCCTGCTAAGTCTGCTGATAAAGATGATGATGGGCTGGTGGGAGCTAAATGGATTGGTCGTGTCCTCAAAAAACTTAGCTGTCAATCAAAAGCATTCACCAGTGAGAAACAAACCCACTCAACAAACAACTGAAAAGGCATTTTCACTGCATGGCACCTTAACATATCACAGTAAGAAAACCACATTTACTTCAAGTGTTTCACAAAGATATTTCAGACTGATCTGTATTGTTAGGGCCAGACCATTAGTCTAATAAAGTTTGACAGTTTCACAAAAATAAAGACTGATGTATTTTAATCCTTAAAACTAGGAGCCTGAGGTAAGAGTGAGGACATTGTCAGTCTTTTTCATTTGCCAAAGAAAACTATCCTGATCCTGACTGACGAGTTAGCAGAACTACTGAGTCCTGAGAGAGCTTTTTCTACTGAGTTTTTTGTGTTGTTACATTCTTTGCTAAATTTAAGTAAAATGTTTTTCTAACTGTTGAATTCCCCCCAGAAGACATATTTCCTGCTGTAGCAAACCAAGCAAAGTGGTTTGACGAGGCCAGCCAAGTCTTAATTAAACCGGGGTGAGTTCAATCTCAAAACGTTTTGCAACGGTTTGCAACATTTTCAGATTGAACATGTTTCCTTGCAACGTTCTGCAACGTTCTGCAACGGGCTTCGAGGTATGTTTTCTTCTGCTTGGTGGGTGTGTCACAGCTGTTACCAAATCAGTGGCGACAAGTTTGTAAACACAACTGTGGTAAGAAGGCATAGAAATGCAGTGCGCTTGCGTACACAACAGGGTGTTCAGGGAATCACCGTTTCCGTTGAAATAAACATTTTGCTACGTTTTGTCAGTGCTGAACTCTCCCCAGAATGGGGCCTATTCGAGACAGTCAAGAACTAGACTAGATCTTAGCCAAAGTCGAAGGTTATCTTTGTGAAACTGCCTCCTGAGTCACTGAAATTGAGCTATTGTTAACGTTAATTATTGCACTTGTGCTTTTCCTGCTAAGTCAAAATGTCAGCTGTGAAAAAGGTGATGATTTTGTTTTCTGCCATCTCCAAAAAATATCTTTAAAAACTTTGAACACAAACAGTGAATCAGACATCCTATTATTGTACATACTTTTTTTTTTATAACGTATAAATCATTTAAGCTACTTGCTGTATAGGATTAAAATAGTTCCACTAAACCTTTGGCCCACGAAGGCCTTTATCAAAACGTGAACAATTATATTTTTTACTTACAGTATACATAGTTCTTGACCCTCCATTACATACCACCGAGGTGACCTTAACTCCCAAGTAGGCAGAAGAGACTTAACACAAGCCACCAGAAACCTAACTGGTGTCTTCAGATTAGAAATCTTTTGAAATCTGTAAGCATAAAATGGATTAAGGAGGAGGCATCCTGGACTATGACAAGTAGTTTCACTTGGTACTGGAATCAGGTCTCCCACAGGACCTAAAAGACATCATTCCCATTGTCCCCAATCAAAACAGAAACAGAGAGGAAGCAGTTTTTGAAAAGGTGGAAGTGGCCGGGTGTCGAGCCCTGACCGAGCAACGCATCTAATAGCGGGAAAGGGAAAACCGTGTTGCCATGTAGTGTTATCACCAACATAAACCTCCTGTACGTGCGTCAAACACAGAAAAAGACCTTCAGGGATCCATCGTGTCTGTGTGTGCAAGGGAGAGAAACCGTGGCTGTGTGTTGCTGGGCAGTGCTCACACCAGTGTCTAAAATCTACAGCTGACCAAGACAAGCTGTCACACTCTAATAAGCTCTGCATTCCTGCCCTGATCTGGCCTAAATACTTACTTGACAATATTAACATTTAGTCTGCTTGACTTGATGTCAATGTTTACACTACAGAAACTGACATACACTGCTTCTTCTGTATTTGCAGGGATGTAAATTGCCCTGCAGTCTGTATGTGGCTTTTGGTTAAACAATGAATGCTTACATAATAACACACATACATGCAAAATGCAACAAGGTCAATAAGACTATATTAATAACATTCCACTATAAAAACAAAACAAAAGCGTTAAGCATTCCATCTCCTCCTTGGTGAACCATTAACCAGGAAGTCCACCATGCCTCGTGAACACAGGCCTGTGCGAATGATAAACTTCTTATTACTTTCAAGTGGCTTCTGAGAAGACAATTACTTTTGTATTAAGGACACCTGGGGGGCTGCAATATAATCTAGTCATGATAGGTTTACCCGGATACTGTAGGAATTCCTCCACACTAGCATAGTCAAGGCTGCTGGCGATGTAGTTTTGTTGGTGTGTTTGGTGTAAAAATAAGCCATGACAATTCATCATTACTGCAGCATTACAATTTATAAAAAGGAAGCTAGTGGACTATACTAGGACTACCTAGCTACTACTAACACTGTTCCATCTCACACACTTTCTTAAAGAAATGTTATGCAACAAACAGTCTATATTTCACTTTGTAGTAGCACCTTAAGGAAGAAATACAATCCATTTGTGCAGGAGCCAACAAACTTTTCTTGATGCAAGGTGATAACGTCTGATGTCATTGTGCAGATGACTCGGGTTTAAGGCACACCAAACCTCAAGGCTCATTTTACTGGCTCAACAGCATCTTACATCTCTACAAAGCAGGAGATTACCTCATTCAGAGCAAATGTGTGATACCACCACCAGCAACAAGGGAGCCACGGTGACAAAGAGGGCCAAGGCGAGGAATGTATGAAAGGAGAAAAAAAATTCAGAAAGTGAGAAAGAAGAGACGAGACGGCCCCAGCAGGAAGCTGAGGACAAACACAACAGGAAAAAAAACCCAATAACAAATGACCTACTTCCTGGTCAAAGGTGGGAAAAGTCTCAATGGCTCCATTATTACAGAAAAATGT